CCATGCAATACCTTACATTCATCTGCACTTCATCATCCATCTCACTGCCCAGCTGCTCATTACTGAGACATCCTTCTGGGGCTCCCTGCATCTGGTCCCATCTCTACCACCCTGAACAAAAAATTATCAGTCGATCTTATCATAAGTTTATTCAAGATATATTCAAGGATGAGCAACAAAAAGCTGCAAGAGAGGTGGTGTTGTACAAGCTTCCTGTGACTGACTGGTGAGTACTCAGCAGCAAGTAGCTTCCCAGCACCTGTACTGCTCTGTTAACCAGAGCTAAACCTACCCTAGCTTGCCCTAGAATAGATCCCCCTTCTATTACTAATGAGACAGAAGCATGAATTTCAAAGCTTTAGGAGCTCAAGCAAGTTTCCTGTTCAGAACAAGATATGCAGGTAAAAAAGTTGTGGGTTTTTTTTGTTGTGGTTTTTTTTTTTTTTTACTCAGCCTCCTGGTCTGATTGGGAGCAATTAAAGAACTTAACCTGTGCCTTAGTTCTCCAGGAATGAAACAGGAATAATAACATTCCCTCCCTCACAAACAAACTGGTAAAATAAAATCACTAATGTCTTTCAAGCACTCTGATACCAGAGCAACTAATACCGTAGAAGGATCCTAATTTTTCTATGGGAGCATCTTCTGTAATTCTTGGTATTATCATCTGTAGCTCAGGTAGATGTTTGTTTTCAGATAAGTCTTTACTTCAAGAATGTCTCCTGTTGCCAATAGAAATCCTGATAGCTTGTTCTCTCCCTCCTGTCTTTTCTAGTGTTAATGCTATTGTATTTGTTTAATGGGGTTAATATGCTGCTAGTATAATAATGATCATGTATGGATGTAATTATTATGTGTGATTAATTCCACAGCTGCTGAGAAGCTTGGAGGACTTTTCTTAGGCAAGGGAATATCTTTACAATAGTCCTTCTCAAATTGCATTACACAGACATAAATCCCAAAAGACATGCTAAAGTGGAAAGAACGAAGGCTGGATTAGAGGAGAGAGAGCTGCACCCAGCAGAGCAGCTGATGAAGGTTAAACATCATGTGAGCAGAGACCATCTCTCTGTTGTGTGTTTATACACTGACTAGCACAAATAATTCCTGGTCCATCACTACAAAGGCACTACTACCATGCTCATAGTATGTAACTGGTTATAAATTTTTAAAGACATGTCTGCCAGTGGTGTAGGCTTCTCGTTACTTTTTTATAGTAAGCATCCTTTAAATTAACACACTGGGTTTTTGTTCTTAGAAGATACAATACCACAGACCAAGCTATGAACCCCTACAAAATGCTACCACAGGTTAATGATTTTTACAAGAACCAAAGAGAATGAGGTGCACAGCACACAAGCCATTAGCACTAAAATACCAAGGGTGTCCACATCTGATAAAACTGTAGATGCTTTTCTGCATGAGGCTTTTTGGCACACACTGATAATTTATGGTCCAATGCTGCAGCCACACTCTTGAGTGCCCTTAAGTGCTCTGAGTGATAATGGATCTATGTGTGTGATCAGGGATGTAGACTCAGGCCTATAACTCAGCACGTTCCCCAGAACAATAGCTGGACACTTACTCTTGACCAGACTATTCTTAAATCCCACATATGTGACCTGAAGACAAGATACTGCCTGCAAGATTTAAGTCTCTGTAAGCTGCCCAGCTGTTTATAACCCAGTTATTACTCATGTAAGCACCCAAGACTTTGATATTTACCTGACTCACTTTAAAGGTTTAAGTAAAGAAGAAGGTGTGCCCAGGACAAACTGACATGTGCTCAATGTTCCCTTCCTTCTCCAGAAAACCATCTGGTTTAGCCTCTTCAGTCTTTAACATCTAAAATCACCAGTGCCACAGTTCAGTTCTTTCTGCACACAGTGAAATCCCTGCGCAAAGATGCCAAGGACAGAGCACGTACAGGATGGGAGATGCTGAGTCACCTGTGCAGGACTGCAGGTGGCAGACAAGAGGGTCAAGGTGGGCAAAAAGCACAGCTGGAGAACTTGCTGTCGTGCAAGGCTCTCCTGCCATCCCCCATAGCTCCAGCTGTCAGCAGCAGCCAATACTAAAGCCACTGTGCTGCAACAGGACCACATATGGGTATTGTATAGGCTCTGTGCATGCAGGGCTGGGAATGGAGATGGATTCTGTCCATTGACTTCTCTCAGTCTTACCATAAATGGCTGCCTTGAATAGCAGTTTGGGCTTGGTATTTAAGTGTCCTGAAGTGCTATTATATCTGAAATCCCCATGATACTTTAAAGAAATAAATCACTCCTTCTGAGACTCAAACAACAGAACCGCAGATAGGGCCTATTTGAGAAAACACAAGGGCTATTTGCTCACCCTCCAGAAAGGGAGATAGCAGTTTTAGTTTTCACCTAGTGAAGGACTTATTGAACATCTCATTCAGCCACCAGCATGTTTCAGACAGTAACGATCGGACCTCACAGCAGTCCTCTACTGTGCCTGCAGGAGTCATCAGCGAAATGCTACTCCAGCATCTGAGACAAGGGCTGGTTTTCTTCCTTCTTTTTAACTTTTTTCAGCTTCTGCTTCACTGGATTTTCCTTTTCTCACCACAGTACTGGGAACTTTATAGGCACAGAAGAACAATGCAGAATGTAGAAGCAACAATGTGACTTAGAATAAAAGAAGCAGATAGACAGAGGTTCAGAATTTGCTTGTAATCAGTTACAAATTTCCATGTTTCACCTAAAACCTGATCTCACACTGAGAGATACTGGTCTAACAATGCTAAAGTACATCTGGATACAGAAAGGACACAAAAAAACAACTCAAGATAGCCTTAACAGCAAAGGTGGAAGAACTGTCATGAAAAAATGTCAGGACTATTAGTTTGGGTGGCTGACAGGAGACTTTGGCCAGCTTATCAAGCTGATTAGACTAGGTTTATCTGAAGCCCTACAAACACAGAAATGGAAAATTCAGGCAGAATTTAAAATGAAAGGTCCCTCAAGGAATCCCTTCTTTTCCCATAGCCTGCTTCTGTTCTCATCTCATCAACAAACACAAAATGTTTGTCAGATTTAAAGATACTGCCAACCAAGCTACTGCACCTATGTGCTCCCACCAGATAAAAAGCTGAATGGGATGTCTAATCAAGGCAGCTAAACTTTCCCATGCTGAAAGCTAACCCATGCACACATGGCAAATTTGCCAGACCCCATTCCACCAGAGTCCCAGGACTGACACGACTCCCCAACACTCACAGACAATGAATTATAGGGTTGCTCAGTTACCACAACACACAGAGCTATACAACATGCACCCAGAAAGACATGTGTTAGAATATCAAAAAATGTCAGCAATTTGGTCATGATATTGCAGGTAGTAAGCTGGAAAGCAAACATCTGAGTTCTCTGCACTGAAGACATGTCATGTACCAGAAAATACAGGGGCATTACAGATGCCTGACCCATCCAGACACAAAACAACTTGTGCAGGACCTGATTTAAGAACAGAAGTGTAACGTAATCCTGACCTTCAGGCAGCTAAGAGACAAAACTTTGATATCACAGGTAGATAAATGAAAACATGCCAGAAAAAACTGCAGCTAATTAACTTGGACCTATATTGAGAGTACTTTAATTTAATTTCCGAGAATAAAACTTTAGGATGTATCTATACTACAGCATATATAAACACAGGCAAGCTTGCTTGCTAGAGCACGTGGTAAGACTCTTGTCTTAGTCTGCCTTTGCTTGAAATTAGTAAAAAGGTCCCAACTTGAAAAGTTTTAATAAAACATGTACATGCAAACAAGAACATGTCTTTAAGTAACAACATGGAGGCCTTTGTTATCACAGCTAACATAAGACTAGCTAGGGCTACACAGACTGGAGTCATTGGTTTTACTATTTCATAGACTTGCCCTTAATTTTTGAAGGACTGACTGACAACACAGATTATTTCTATAATATACTGAAGTGGAAACTTAAGTTTTCCCATCCATAAACAAGAATATTACGTAAATATTTTGTTAGCTCTGGGCCAAGGAGTACAGCAACATGCAAAAGCAATCTCAGGATTCTGCAAGCTGGAGATACTATGTCAGACCCAGTGAATGCAAGGAAGTGTTAAAGGTAATAACCTTTGTCAACCACATCACAAAAAGCAAACATACCAACAAACAAAAAAAATGTTATTTCACATCGTCATTAGCTGCTGGTTTCAGACAGGAGGCAAAAGGACAATATGAGATGGCACTGCCATTCAACCCCTGAATGAGGCACACCAGCAGCTAAGTAGATAACACCATGCACTGTGGCTGCATGACCCCATCTATGTTGTGGGCATTAGCACTATCCATCCACTACCCATCTCAAGGACTAACTACAGGTCTGGGACTAACTAAACCTGCTATAAGGCAATTTACAATTTTTCCCTTTAGGTATCGGAGGAAGGGAACTCAACTGTTGCAACCCAGAAGAACAACTTTCAAATATTTCTGCAGAAGATTTTTTTGTGCCGCAGCAGAGAATTCACAGCAGCAGGATCACCAAAGGGCCCAAAGCACGAGGTCACCTAGCACTCAGCAGCACAGCAAGGGGACTAAAGAAAGTATAGCCCTGGGAAACACTTAATAGCAGAAGGCAGGGCCTCTGCAGGTCACATAGTAACATATAATCACTTGAAAAGCACATCTTTCTTTTTATGGATCTGCTGAGAATTACTCTCAGTGCTTTGGGTATAATAGCGCTTTTGCCATAATCAGATGTTGTAAAGGTATGTGCAATAAAAGAGACATTCGGGTGTTACTGTCCTGTCAGCTGTGTCTTCATGTGATTGCTTCCAATTACACTGTAAAATTTACCAGTACACATATTCGAAATAATGCTTTTAATTTTCAATCAGATACTCTGCAAGGAAACCCAGCTCAGAAATGACATAATTGAATACCTTGAGGAAGAAAATAAAAAGCAAATTTTGACTCAATGGTGTTATTTAATAGCAGTGAAAGTACTTACCAGGTGGCCTATTAATTGCGAGGTTTCGGAAATGACTGCCTTTGATCATCTCCACTGACAGCCGCCCCGTAGTGGCATTGTACGACAATCCCACGAGCAGCTCTGGCACCCCTCCATGCGACAGGGACTGTGTTGAAGAAGCGCTATCACTGTGAGAGATTGCTGACAGACTAAGCTGAGAGTCTGCACTCTGCAGGGAGAGAGAGCACTGAAAGTCTCATCAGGACATTCACCACCACCCTCCCTCAACTTATATCTTGTAGCCTTGTTTAGTAAAATCTCTCTTAAGAAATGACAATGACTAAGAATGAATTATTATGGGGCAGCAGAAGAATCAGAGCATCACTTTTACAAAAACACATCTCTGAACTTTCTCTTTAAAGATGAGGAACTCTGCGTAATGTGTTATCACTAGTGTAAATCAAAGCCTCCGAGATAAGCACACATCCTAGTACATCAAACACACAGTAAATCTCCTTGACAATGACTTTTGGATGGAATACATTTTGCATTTTGGGTTTTCTGGGTCATGTACTGTGTAGTTCTTACTTTTATTTCCTTACTATCATGATGCTCTCTCTACCCCCTCTTCACCCGGAGTATGATGTTTTATTCATTTCATGTGTACATCCTCTCACTGAGCTTTTTGTAGACAATGAATCATAACAGAGCTCATCTACAGGAATTGATTGGCATACCCAGGGCTGGATAAAACTGTGATGTGCATGGAAGACTATGAAGCAGCACATCCAGTTCCTTCTCACATGACCCACATCTCCTCTTCCATGTGTCATGAAAAGGAACATTACTAAGCATTTCTGATAATATGGAAACTGCTCAACACAGAGATTCACAAGTTAGTAGCTACCACCAAATGAGGTAGCTCTTGCACTAGCAGTAGTATAGGTTCACCAACATATTGGTGCACAAGAACTACTGTCCTTGTTGAAATTAAGACTTAATTAGCCTTGGTGGCTCCAGGACCAATCTACTCTTTTTGCGTGGTAGAGCATTTGATGACTTGTGTAGATGTAGTACATCTACATGGTTTTTTGTAAGCTTACTAGCTGAGCTGTTGTTAGTAAGGCACAGCTTTGTGTAGGGAAGACATACCCTGTGCTTCCCCTTACTGATAACTTTTCAAGTGACAGCAGGACAGATCCACCACTTGCATCCCACCAGCCCTGAATGAAAGATATCAGGTAAAGCTGGTGCTCATTCATCAGATGAACAATTCTAAGGACTCTGTATTTGTTTCATCACACTTACGCTCAAGTTACTCCTTGGCTCCAAGACCAATGTCACCTTCACTTCCCCTTTCTGGATAACGTTGCTTAGGTAGAACAACTGCTCTCCCATCATCTTCTCTCCAATCATCTTGTGTACCGCATAGAGGCGGAAACGAATGGCATGGCTGCTTAACTCCTCTGGCTCCAGCTTACTGAAGGTAATTTTATCCTTGAACTCGGGGATGGGTCCTCTCTGAACACTTGTTTTACCCCTCTGTTTCTTGCTAGGCATCAGGACTGTGTGCACCTGCCAGGTGTTCACACCACTGCGGTCTTTGTCTGGGATATTCCTGGCCTCCAAGACAGTAACTAACAGCTTTTGACTTGAGGCTTTATAGTTCAAGATGACATCTAGATCACCGCATTTACAGATAGGCTCATGAGCACCATGATGAGCTAATATGCTGCTCACTTCATTATGTTCCTGCAAAGAGAAGGAAGAAGTAAAATCTCCACTGGAGTTCAACTGCATCTGTGTTCCCAACTGTATGTAAAAAAAATTGTTCTCACTTGTGCTTGCAAATGTAGGCAGTTGTTCTGCAAACTAGGATCCCACTGTTTCTTGAAAGGCCAGTGATAGTAATTGCCTGATTTTGTGTAATATTCCCAATACAATTTAGTAAGCAACAGCACTTGTTGAAATATTTCCAACAAAAAGTTTCACCAATATTTAAATGTTTTGCAGGAGACTTAATTCGGCAAAAATTCTACATAGGGAAAAACTAAACAAAGGGTCTTTTCAAATTTCATTCATGTGAATTTTGAGGCATTAATAAAACTTCTTGGTTTCATTTGGTTAAAAAAAAAAACCCCTAACACTCCAAATTTACACTGGATTTTTTTCAAAATGGATTTTTTTACATTACCAAAATCAAACAATTCAGTCAAGACTGATAACTCTTTGGATATTTTGTTCTACTGGAAATTAAAAAAAATTAAGCACTCTGTTCAATTTGATGAGAGGGAAAATCACCATGTCAGAATTTCTTGCAGAATGGAAATTCCATTTCTAGATGCTACCCTATAACTCAATACTTTTCCTACAGCTAAAGCAATGATAATTGAGAAAAACTGTCTGATTAAATAGTATTGATTCTTTATTCCCTTTTTAAATCTCCCAAGAGAAGCATCTGTTCCTTCTGTTCAGTTTGGATACTAATACATTTAGAATAAAAATTCAAAATAAACAATCAAGACAGGTGCAGACCAATTCACACACATCTTTTATCTACATTTAAAACAAAAATCATCTTGATAAAACAAGGTAAAAAACATGGATGCTCACCTTACCTTTCGATGAGTGGGCGTGTGAGTTTCTGTTCAAAAGTGCTTTTTTATTTTAGAGCTAGAATGTGCTTCATGTGATAAAGGGGTTGCTATAGTGATCAATGATTTGTATTTAAACATGAGTATACACTGTACTAGGGAAAGATTTTCAGTTAATAGCCAGAAGGTGAATTAAGGCCTGTCACTAGCAGTCTGAGTCACCCTCCTCCTCCAACATTTATCTTCTTTTGCATTTCAAGTAACACTTCTTTTCAACATAGGAATCTTACTGGGTTTAGTACAGATGATGGGCCACAGGACTTCTGATGTAATTCCCTTCAGAAGTGTCCAGGGTAGTATGTGTCTCAGACAAGACCTCGGACAAACCTCAAAATTTGTATCTACTTCCTTTCAATCTACTTTTCAAGAGCTCAGATTCATCTGCCATGTCATGCAAAGCTCTGACTTCATATTTCCGTGGGTGTTTAAGGGGTTCATGCACGTGAATACAAAAAGTCCATGTGTGCACATTAGTGATGGAGACCTGCTGTCATACGTCTTGCAGAAGCAATGTCAAAAAGAGAAAAATCACCAGTTGGACAGAACACAAAATTACTTGGTTGCCCATAAAAATGCCTTTCTGTATGAACAGCAGGCTGCAAAGACAAAAATGTAAGGCAGGCCAGGTTGCCTGGAGAGAACGTGATGTTATGCAAATGCTAAGTGCTGCTGTGTGGCTGTCAAGTTATATCTGTCTGGTTGATGAAATAATATTTAAGAAGGAAACGTAATGGGATTGCATTTGATTCATGCCTCCCTCCACATGTTCATCCCTCCCCTCTCTCATCTGTGCATTCGCTATTGAGGAGATGGAATCAAGGCACATTTGAGAACTGCTGCTAGAGTGTGGAGACAACTGTGCTTGTGGTGTAACCCTGCTTTCATCTACAAGCCTAAGCTGGAGAATGTGAACCCCCGTGCGTCATCATAAACCCATAGTTGTGAAGATCCAAGAGGCACCTTCTTGCCCCAGCAGGGCTGAGCATCTCATCTTCTGGCAGCATGTAGGGCAGAATGAAGGTCAGCTATCTGGTTTTTGACAGAACAGGTAGAAAGCATCTAGATTTCAGGAAATCTCTAATTGTGCTACTATGGCTGCAGCCACATCCACTGCAGAGAAAACTGCACGACCTGGAGGCAGAGAGGGGAAGAGAAATGCCTAACTCTGCAACAATGACCTTTCCATGGGCAACCAAGCTTTAGAGACCTCATGGGCTGGCCCTTGCAGAGAGCACTGTGCTATCTGGGACTCACCCCTATAGAGGTTTACAGCACACGAAGCTTATAACAGACACTCCATTTTCTTTCTGTGGAAGTCATTGACAGAATTCCCCTTAGCTTTCAGAGCTCAGTGGGGCTTTGAGTCCTTTGTGAAAGTACTGGTTATACAGACACTTAAACTGAAATCCAAGGAAAGTGTGGGGATTTAGAAATTTCATAGGAATTTCTTTCTTTCCCTCTTCCCAGCAGAGTTGAAAGGTCAAGCCAAGTATACTGATTGATACTGTATGTCTAACCAGGCAGTCTGGGACAGCCAATATCCACTTCACTAGGTAAAATAAGTCCATTTCTGCCAGAGAAACCTGAAAGCGCAGCTAATTATGGACAAGACTTGAAATGGTACTTGTAGTTCCACTGCAGGGGCAGAAAATTTTCATTTTTGTCTCTAAAGAGAGGTCCTTTCAGTGGAGCATAATAGCGCTTGGACATTTCTGGCATGTCAGAACATTTAGTTCCTGCAATAAAAAGTCTTTCATTAATCTACACAATACCTTTGGATGAGAAGCTGCTTGTAGTAGATAAACTAGGACTCAGGCATATCTGCCCCTTGATGCCATAACCATTCTTTGCATTTTTAAAATACAGATACCAGGAGCAAAACAAGAGATGTATTCCAAAGAACTACAAGAGGACACTGTGGCACATGTGAACCATGGCAATGTGCTTCAAACGTGGAAAAGGAGAAATGAGCCTCAGGTGAGCAGACAAACGGTGCATGTCAGAGGTACACAGCAAAGAGAGGGAAGGGCTGCCACTGCACAGAGCTCCCATGTGTTGGGTAGTATTCTGTGGGACTGGAATGTGGAGCAAACAAAAACATTGTTCAAAACACCCCTTAGGGCTGGAGTATATCCACTGAGGAGCTGCTTTCCATCTCTTTAACTGGCTGCAGGCAGCATGCTCTGAGGAAAGGAACCTTTCCCTCAAAGCCTTGTTGCTCAGAGTGTGAAGGAGGTATTCATTTCCACAGCTGAAGAACAGTCTCTTTTAACTCAGGCAGAAGATGTGACCTTTGTGCTGTTCTTTTAAAATGTCTGATGCAGGCTGATATTTTTTCAGAAATTTAATCTTGTGGTAAAGTAATAATGAAAGCCAACACATCACACAGGAAGATTATGAGAGAAAAGGGGGATGCTAAGCCATCAGGTGTTTACAATGCCTTAAAATCTGTAATGTTTTTTTTTGAGGCTTCAAAATAAAGGTGCAGAACTAAGGGAAAGCAGAGTAAGCTCCAACTTCAGGCTCTCTCCTTCCCTGGAAGGACCCCTGGTATCAACAGGGACTAGAGTGATGATCACTTGGCCAAGTCATGGGCCACCCTCATCAGCTGCCTCCAGTTTTCCAGATGCTTCCAACTGTCTAAGCCATAGAAACTACGTGGAAAAAGAGGCACAGATCTGACCCAGTGACCACACACCATGTCCTTAGACATATACCTCACACATACAGCCAGTAACAAAGCCCCGGGCCACCACAGAGTGCTCTTTGCTAAAACGATAGTAAATGCTGTCAGGCAGCTAATGGCTCTAATTTCAGTTCAGAGATTGCAATTAGAAATCAAGCAATAAAACAGCTTCTCTGAATGAGTGTTAGTAGCAAGAGGTAAAATGCCAGAAAAAGGAGAAACACATAGAGAGGGGTGTATATTAATGCAGACATGCACACAGGAGTACCATTATCTTGTGCTGTGCTGATCAATTTTTCACTTCATTACTCCTTTAACATTTTTTGGCCCCCCAATATCCTTCAAAAGCTTACACCATGTGCAATAAATGACAATTCATCATACCTCGGGGCTCAAAGCTGATGAGCTGTCAGTAGCATCATTTACTTCAAATCCCTGGTCGGTAGATGCTGGTGCCGTTTCCAAGCGTCCTTCCGTGGCTTGCCAGCTAACACCATCAGCAATGCCAGACTCCATCCTAGGCCCTTTACGCTGCCCAGTGCCCCTACTCTCAGTTGTTGTTCTTGAATCGACAGATACATGGTCATCTTCACGATAGGATAGGTTGTCTTGGTAACTCAGTTGGCTTAGTCCATCCAGATCTAATGATTTTCAGCAAGAAAATAATTTCAGGGGGATTAGAATGCATTCCTCCCCCCTCCCTCCCAAATGTCCCTCTCTGTGCTTTCTTTTTTTTCTTTTTTCCCCTCATCTCCAGTGAATGCAAGAGACAGTTTTTACTTCTCAGAACTACAGCATTTGACATAAAAAAATAACAAAATGTGTATAAATCAGCATTTGATAGAGCGGACAGGCCTGTTTCTCATCCCATCCTGACTGAGAAACTGGTTGCCTTTACGTGGAGAAGTTAACCACCAAATGCAATTACCAGTGGAGTGTTTGGGATATTCAAGTGCCTTGGGGTTGTTTTGTGACCCCAAAGCAATCACTTCCATGCAAACACAGGTCTGACAAATCACAGAAAAGCACAGCACAGGCCTGATGAACAGCTATCAGCAATTTCCTTCTATGCAGGACAACAAGGAGGAGGAAAGGACAAAAGTTAGCATTGCCCTCAAAGGGATGGTGCTGGTGAAGAAAGGAGTTCCACAGAGATAGCAGAGTGCCACCACGACTCTATCACCCATAACCCACCCCAGAAGCCAATCAGGAATCTCAGAATCCCTTATCTGGGCTAAATTGTCCCAAGGGCAACCGAGAGAAGATGTGTTCCCTAATTTTCTGCCTGCTTTTATTAGTTTTGATTCATCTGATCCTAAACACTTACTCCATGAGTTAAAGTAAGGTTCATTAATGAGAATAAAATAATCTTCTCTGGTTCAGACCATAGATTCCTTCTCTGCACCACTAAAGTCTCTCCTGAACACAGCGTGCTTTTCTCTGCTTGAAGGCATCAGTGAGAGCTCTCTGGGTAGAGCGACACAGATAATTACATGTGCAGGGACACAGATGAAAATAACATCATGATTTGGCCTTGAATGTGTTCTGCAAGTGCTTTCAGAAGAAAACCAGGGACTTTCCTCCTCCTAATGCATCTTATGTCAGGCCTTGCTTTAGGAACACAAAGAGTTAGATTCTTCCTCCATCTCTGTCATATAAGCAAGAAGCAGCTACAGTGAAAGAAAACAAGTTGTGCTTCAGAGCTGATGACAGTAATGAAAACAGAATTACCTCATTTGCAAACACAGCTATTTGGAGTTTAATGTTTTCACAGAATGGTTGAGGTTAGAAGGGACCTCTGGAGTTCATCTTGTTCACACCCCCTGCCCAATCAGGACTACCTGCTTGTTTGTTCTCAAACCTGCAGGTTTGTTCTCCAGGTCATCACTACAGAGCAGTCTTTTTTTTTTTTTCAAATTTGGTCTCCAACTCAAATCTTTAAAAAATAGTATTAATGACTGTGCTTAATAGAAAATGATTAGTTTGCTTTGGTTTAGATGAACCAATGTTTTCATTCCTTGTCTGATAAATGAGACAGGGAACCTGGTGACAGCTGACATGGAGAAGGCTAAAGTACCCAACATTTTTTTTGCCTCAGTTTTCACTGGCAATTGTTCATCCCACATGTTTTGAGTCCCTGAATCTCAAGGCAGGGACTGAAGGAACAAAGTTCCACCCATCACAGTAGAAGATCAGGTTTGAGACTCTCTGAGGGACCTGAGGGAACTGGCTAATGTAGTTGCTAAGCAGCTCTCCATCATACTTGAAAAGTCATGGCAGTCAGCCAAAGTCTCCAGTGACCAGAAAAAGGGGAACGTCAAACCCATTCTTTAAAAGGATAAAAATGAGGACCCTAGGAACTACCAACCAGTCAGCCTCACCTCTGTGCCCAGTAAGATCATGCAACAGATCTTCCTGTAAGATATGTCAAGGTATATGGATGACAGGAAGGTGATTAGACACAGTCAATATGGCTTCACAAAGAGCAAACCCTGCCTGACCAATCTGGTGGCCACCTACAAAGGAGTAAGGGAAGAGCAACAGAGGTCACCTAACTTGACTTCTGTAAGGCCAGGCCTTTGACATGGCCCCACACAACATCCTTGTCTCAATTTAGAGAGATAGACATTTAATGGATGGACTGTCTGAAGAATAAGGAGTTGGCTCCAAGACCTCATACAAAACGTTTCACTGAATGGCTCAATGTCCAAATGGAGATCAGTAACAAGTGGTGCGCCTCAGCAGTCCACATTGGGACCGGCCCTGTTTAATGTCTTTATTAATGACATAGACAGCGGGATTGAGTGCACCCTCAGCAAGTTTATAGATGACATCAAGCTGAGTGGTGCAGTTGATACACTTGAGGGAAGGGATGCCATCCAGAAGGACTTTGACAGGCTTGAGAAGTGGGCCAATATGAATGTCATGAAGTTTAACAAGGACAAGTGCAAGGTCCTGCACCTGGGTCAGGGCAACAGCCAGTGTCAATACAGGCTGGGGCAATGAAGGGATTGAGAGCAGCCCTGCAGGGAAGGACTTAAGGATACTGGTAGATGAAAAATTGGATATTGAGCCAGTAATGGGTGCTTACAGCCCAGAAAGCCAACCCTATCAAAAGAAGCATGGCCAGTGGATCAAGGGAGGTGATTCTCCCCCTCTACTCCACTCTCATGAGACCTCACCTGGAGTACTGCATCCAGCTCTGGGGTCCCCAGCACAAGACAGACATGAATCTGTTAGAGCAGGTCCAAAGGACGGCCATGAAAATGGACAGAGGGCTTTTCTACAAAGAAAGTCTGAGAGAGTTGGTGTTGTTCAGCCTGGAGAAGAGACCGTGTCAGGAAGACCTTATTGCTGCTTTTCGATACTTAAAGGGGGCATAAAAGAAAGATGAATTTTTACTAGGGCCTGTAGTGACAGGACAAGGGCTAATGGTTTTAAACTGGAAGAAGGTAGATTTAGACTGGATATAAGGAAGAAATTCTTTACTATGAGGTGGTGAGACGCTGCAACAGATTGCCATAGACGTTGTGGATGCCCTACCATTGGAAGTATTCAAACTCAGGTTGGATGAGGCTTTGAGCAACCTGATCATGGCAGGGGGCTTCGACTTTAAAGGTCATTTCAACACAAGCCATTCTATGATTCTCTACACATCCCTCTGTATAGAACAAAAAGCCCAAATCTTTCTGAGTAGAAGAAATTCTGTGTTTGGTCTTAGCAGCAAATATGAATTTTCTGATTCATACTTGCTCAAAAAAGAAAAAAAAAATTAAAAATCCAACAAGGGGAATGGCAATTATACTCAGGAAACATTTCCTGGAGCTGTGGAGAAGTCCCATGCCCCTCTGCTTAGCTGCTCTTTCAATTTAACAGCTCAGAAATTAAGAGAATAACTTTATCCCATTTCTTCAACTATGAATGGTCTCACATTCTCCCTCCCAGTAAAATGCTTCAAGCACAGACACTTCAACAGAGAAGTCTGAGAGCACCTCACAGGTTTGTCATTATGGTCTTCTTCTGAGACATGGGATTTGGTCCTTCAGGAGAAAAGAAGGATCCAAATTCAAATCTCTCAAATTTCAGGTGAATGCTCTTCTCACTCCCTTCTGAAATGCAAAACCCACCTCTTCTCATCCTCCCATCTGGTAGACCTAGTCCTGAAACCAAGAGCCCTCATTGTCTTGCCTCTGCCCTGAGCTGAAACTCTTTGAGGATAGAAAGTAATTTGATTTTCTGCCATCACTCCCATTCTTCTCTACAAAGTCAGAAAACAGAAAGAAGTAAACATAAGAACGTAAGCAAGAAATAAAATAACAGAAATTCCACAAATTTACTGAGACTGAATGGGAACGGCACTCCTTAAGGCATTTAATTAGCAAGCCAGTGTCTAATACACATTTTAAACAGTGGGTCATCCATCAAAGCACACACCACACAGCAGGCTTTCAGAATAAAATGCTACTGTAGTAAGAAATTATCCTCACACAATTGTCTTGTGGTTTTGACTCCTGCTGGGATAATATCTAGATCAATAATAGAGGAATTTTCAAAAACTACATTAAAGCCATAAAAGGCTATTCATAACAGGAGAACTCCAGAAATATATTAATAGAACAAGCCATCTCCCTAAAACTCAGGCACACAATGGATGTGTTAGGAAAGCAAATGTAGTATTCACGGAAAGGAAAAGGTGATTCACCAAAATCATTCAGTGAAACAGTCTAGCTTATTCTTTACATTTAAAGTAGTTTGGTAAGAGATAATCACTTATAAATACCAGTATTAGAGAATCATTACAGGTAATAGCCCAACCCTACAGACTAGAACAACTACACCTCTCCAATTACATCCATTCTAACATTATATTCACAAAAAACCAGAAGTTCTTCATGTAAAGGAAAAGGTCAGAGCAGTAAAATGCCTGTAATTTACCTGAGAGATCTTTAAGGAAGAAAATGTCAACTGTCTTATGAATACCTGACATGAATAAACAGCACAGCCTCAGGGATATACGTTGAGACAGCATTATCTAACTATCTGAACTTTAATTAGCCAAGAGTCCCCACAGAGCAATAGCAGCCAATTCTAAAATTAAGGGCAGATAGTACTGTACACTAAAAGAGTGTGATGATTTTTTTTTTTTTTTCCAGTCCTGCTCCCCCAACCTTTCCGTGTTGTGTCACATGTGTCCAATAAGCCAGGAAGGAGGCAAGGGGACTGGGGAACAGAAATCACCAATAAATCAGGAAAGTCTGTATTCAAGGTTGGAGAATTGGCTACAAAGAAAACATAACATTTATCAGATGAAAAGATGAGCATCACCTCCAAACAGAACTCTAATGGGTCCTGGGATATTGAAGCATCTCTCCAAAGATACAGGGAAAGCTCAGCACATCAAACCCTGAAAACCAAGTTGGAAAATTCTGTGAAGTCTCCCCTCACACTGACAGGTAAATGGCCTGGTTAACCTACAGTATCTTTCTTCTTTTTTAATGATACATGATCTCTCAGTTCTATGAAGCATTACAATGTGCCAAAGCAACATCCTGAGAGGCCTCATCACTTCCTAAAACACACTGCCAGAGTTAAAAGATGGAGCCTAGTAGATCTTGCTACATTAACAGCACATAGTTCATTGACCAGCAAGAAAAAACAAGATGAAGAGTATTAATGTGTGCCTATTACCTGTGCTGACTGAGGTGATGTTTGCTCTGTGGACTGCAGTGAATCACTGTGCTTTTACAAGAAAAAGCATGTCTTTTCTTCGTAATTTTTGAAAATTAAAGACATTTGATCCCTTCTTCTAGACTGTATATAAATACATGCTGAAAGTTAAGAACCTGTTTAAATATGGTCCAGAGGAGGAAAAGATTTCAGTATGGATCTAGATACTTCTGGACTTGAAATCCTCCTAGGTACCAGAGGTGATTTTCAAACCCCCCTTCCTGAAAGGCAGTAACAGCAGCAGAGATATTAGTTAGTGGGACTGAGGCATATTTGTCCTCCTACAGCAGTAATCCCCTTGCCTGGCTCTTGCTACAGACCCAGGTCCAAATCCCTCTGCAGTACCCCAGCACCACTTGCTCCCTCACACTGAACCAAACCAGATGCAGAGAGACTGAGCAGTGCTCCTGCCCCTGGTTGTTTTGAGATTAGCCATCAAAAAGTGCTAAAAAACTTCCTAGAAGAGCCTCAAAGGAGCAGAATCATTATCTAATTACTATAAATCTAAACAAAAATGGCTTGTAAATTTTAGGGGTTAAAGAGAAAAAGGATCTTAAATTTCAAGTGACATTATGCAATCAGGCCAGGATTGTTTAATTTACCACATGCTGGGTAATAGCCTGAGAAGACTCCATGTTTCCAGAACTAAAATGGGCTCTTTATTAACAGGGTGATTTGCAGAGAGGCTGTGGGCAGAGCTGGCATGCAAGTCGTTCAGCTCCCCAGAGCATCCTTCAAACACTTCCTTCCTGTAGCATGCACTCCTCTTTCCAAGCTCTATTCAGGTTATTACAAAGATTTTTAACAGGTGAAGAGTTAAAGCTAAATGAGTCCAAAGTGCAGACCGTCAGGACATCGATAACAGAAACAGAGGGTCAAGGAAGATCTCATGTAAGAATATGATGTGAGAAGACTGCCGTATGTCAAGGCTGAGTGGGAGAGAAGCTGTTCAGGGCTCTCTGAGATGCTCAACTTCACTGTATGCCTGAGTTTGTTACAGATTTCTGATTCTTTAAGAAAAGAAAACTACCAGCTATATGAGTAAAAGGTCTGTTAAGAGAACACAAGGAGAAGAACATTCTCAGGCAGAATCTAAAAAAATTCTGAAAGTACCATAATCCTAATCTGGACTCAACACATTCAAAAGATCCTTCATCCCTTCCACCCAGAAAGGTCCAGAGGATCTGCTCAGCTAAAACAGTGTTTGATCCACCCTTGGGGCACAATGATGGCTTTACACGCACAAACCTTTCTGTGTTTTGTGGATCACAGCACCAGCTGGGACCAAAATGGACTCTCACACACAGAGTTCTTGGACCAGCAACTGGAGGGTAGCAGGGTGTGGGGTTATCTAGGATTTACCCCAACCACTCAGCTTTTCTCCCAAAAATCATTTCACATCAGGAGCTGTGGGTGTCTGCAACTACCTCTGTACACCCAGTAACAGTAGCTCTACATGCCTCAGAAGTGTCTCTGGGTTTGAAGGAGACCTAACATACCCAAGGATTAGTTTGTAGGTATTTCTTAGTAACAAAGGGTCTAAACTGGAGTTCAGTGAGGAATGGGGCAGGGAACCGAATGTTTTAGCAGGTTTCAACATCTGTTTTCATCTAGTTTCTGAACATTTATTTAAACAATATTAATATTACCTCTGAAAAGAAAAGTAGGAGCAACTCTGCAACATGTTGTACCAGAAGAAGAGTTCAATGGAGAGTCATACCTTGAAACGATCATTCTAATCAGAGGGTGCATTAAAATCAAGCAATTCTATTTCAAAATTAAAACATTCTATGGAACTAAAAACAAAGGGCAATTTCACGGCTCTTCCCTCTAATGAACTTCTCCAGATTTTAGAATGTGTTCAGGCCAATTTTCTAAGTAGCTACGTTTTTAAATGCATTTCATCTCTGTTTGTATAAAAGAGTCATTACATTAGTCCATAGAAGATCATAAAATTCTTCCCTTCTGTGCCATAAATTTTTAGTTTCTGTCATTGCCTGACATTTGGCATATGCGCTGGCAAATGATACAGCATAATTCATTCACTGTTCACCTTGTGTTTGCAAAGCTGTTACAAAAGGAGACATTCAACTTCTGCTAAAAGGCTTGCTAAAGAAATGACTTAAGTGACATAGATCAAAAGTAATTAGAACCAAGTCCTGCAGTCTTTACTCTGGCAAAACTGGCAATAAAATCCGTGAAAATCCCTATGTACTAGAGGCCAGTATTCAAAAGCCATATACAGTTAATGGAAAGATCTTCATGAACTTCAGCAGGGCTTGGATCCAGAGTCTTCCCTCTAAGTATTTTAGAAATGAACTGCAGGTAATTAATAAGGCAACCAAGTTTAGTAAGAAAGCAAGATTCAGGACTTGTTCTCCACAACAAAAGAACCTCTCCATATTGAGGCTACAGATCTTACACTCCAACTGCTTTCATCTCGTTTCATGCAAACAGTACCTTTGCATTCAGATACCTCTGTCCTGTACTCCTCATGGCTGGAGAGCAAACGGCTGAATTTGGGTCTACGCTCCACGCCTGCTGCTGTTGCTTTTTCAGATACTTCTGATCGAAAACTTTGTGAGCATGACACAGAGATCTCAAACTGCTTAATCACCTCATCATCGCAGCCTGAAGATGCTGTCTGTTCTTCATCCTCCCTGTAACTGTTTACTGGGAGAAAAACACAACCCAGTCTTTAGACAGTCTGCTGCCATTGGCCAAGAAGCCAGATGACACGGCACACTTCTAGCTCTCTGATGGACCTTCTGGGGAGAGAAGGGGCCAAGGGTTTAGGGAGGACTGGGGAGTGAACTTGAGAAACACATGCTTCTTCAAACCTCTGGAAAGCCTGTGAATGTCATATTCCATCAGCAACATCTACATATTATTAGACCTTTCCCAACTGCACATTACTCTGTGTTTTTTTTTTTTAAATAAAAATATTTAACAGAGCAGAACACAAAGTAAGTCACAACACACATAGAGAACCACTTGTAAAATCATTAGCATGTAAAAAGACAAAGTAGTAGAGCAAAGGCCTTGAAAACCTTTTCATGCTTCCATTCTCCTCCAGCTTCTGATAAAGGAGAGGGAACTTGTTTTGGGCAGAAAAAGCAACTTGGAGGTAACCTGCTCTGGATAATACTGTGAACACATAAATAGGCACATGGCTAACAGGCACTGTCGATTCCATCTGCCAGCAGCAGAGGAACTCGGGAGACCAATGTAAATTGTAACCTTTAAAAGTGAAGATACACATTTGAGCATGTCCCTATGAGTACCCTTCCCCTCCTGCTACCAACATGTGCTTTGAATATGAGATGACTGCACCCTCATTAGTGTGTGAATATCTGCCAGATGGGGGAAGGAGGGTTCAATACATACTATATATACACTCAGCCTTGCTTTGTCAGGATGAAAACACGGGAGCATTTTGCTGATCTCCCTGGAAGCACAACAGCAAGATGTTTTGACCCACAGACGTGCACAGAGAAGGAGTGGTGGGGACGACGGGCATGTTTGTGTACACATGTGTGAACAAGCCAGCTGTCAAGTGTGGTCAGCCTGCTGCTCGTTCTTGAGCACGAAGTATATGATATGGTTGCCAAGACCTGCTTTGATAATCGCCATGGCAAACCTGAGCAGCTGAACAAATGGGCATTGCAGACAAACGGGTGGAGGATATAGCTTCCTCAGTGATACTGCCTGGTTTGGAAGGAAAGCACCTTTTTCCACCTCAAATTCCACATCAATCACACAGCTACAGGTAGAGAAACTAGATCCTTCTTTTACACACTGTGTTAGGTCTATTAAAAATCTGCAGTATAAACTTAATGACAAACTGCTGTCACTGCTCCCTAAATTTTACCTGCTGCTGCACAGAAGACAGCACTCAACTCTTCGGGCAGAGAGGACAGAGCAAGGAAGCTGTCAGTACCAGAGCAAACTGCTCCCACCATCAGCCCAGCAGAAACTAGTTTCTTCCATGCCACCACACTGGTAGATTTGACCGGCTGGTCTGATTTGCCACAGCCTGACAATAAGCCTGCTGTTCCTTCTAGAAGATTGCTCTCAATTGGAGGAAAAAGCTAAGTGCTCCTATTCTGATAAGAATGAAAAAAGTTTTAGGCATTAGTTTGTAAATGGTCAGTGATCAGTTATCATAAAATTTTTATGTAAGATGTTAAAAATAAGCTTCTTTGAACTTTTTTAAATAGAAATGATTTCAAGCTGTAACAACCCTATGGCCTAAATGTGATATGGTCTATTCAAATAATCAAAACACATAAAACTAAACATTCCTTTTCAGCTAACTGTGCTGTCAATTCACTACCTGCAGCTCATGCAACCTCCTCAAAATTAATTTAAATGCTTGGCAAATACTGTTAAGATCTACTTATATGCGTACATCTTTTGGGTATTTAAGACAAAATAGAAAGATTATTCCAGTTTAAACAAAAGTCCACTTTTCACTCAAACAGCTTGCCAGAAATCCTGAGTAAAATATAATCTTTAGTAATTAAGCCACATCTTTCACCATTTTCTAAAACAACTGTAACATTAAAGTCCTGGGTCCATGGGTGTGAGGCTGTACACCTCAATAAGTGTGCTTTAACGTAGTGTACAATCCTGGTTATTACAAGAAATTTCTCAAAAGCCACGTGAGTGCAGCACTCCCGGGCTGCTCCTGTAAGGGCACTCCCTGGGTGACCGGCACGCAACTCCCTGCAGAACAGAACAGAGCCCTTTTTCTAAGCAGAAGGGGAAGGGTGAAGGGATGGAGGGGAGGAGTTTGGCTCACTTTGATATATTATTGGCCACTTGACTTTGACTTCAATTTTACCAATCACCAAAGCGTGACTGCGTCACTCATTATGACACGGGATGCTATTTCTCCCTAGCATTTGGAACCATATAGGCTAATTAAATGGTGGCACTGGGGAATCTGTAGCAAATGCTTGATATGTCTGCTGCTGAATCTCTGCCTGAGCAACAGACAGCTCTGTGTCAACTTAATATCTCTGTATTAATAAAACTAACTTTACCCAGGGGAGAGAAAAACGTTCACCATTCAAATATACAAGTGTCCTGATTAGGAAAGGACAAGGGGAAAACATTTTCTATATCACCATGGCAACTTAAATAAAAGGACCCATAATTACAATCTAAATTCTGGAAAGATAATGAATACATCTTGAGATCTGCAGATGTTGTGCAGCACATACATATTTCTAGCAACTTCAACTCAATTACTCCTATGCAGCATCTGTTTTACAAATCAACTTCCCACCACTCATAAGGAGGCATGTGGGATTTTTTTTTTTTTTTCCCCAGAGGAGACAGTGGAGGAGGAAGGAGGGTGACCTCTTTTTCTGGCAAGGTATTTCAAACTACCACTATTTATTCAGAAATTTCAAAAAACCAATCAGTTACAAAGTTAGCTTACAGGCATCCAAATACACTAAGCTAAAATGCATGAAATAAATAATTCAAGAATTCTCTGCAGTGTTACCAAGTATAAAGAATAAGTCATTCTTTGCTCAAAGCTTATCCAGGAAAAAAACCTACCGAATAAAATACCTACAGTAGGTGTAAAATATAGATGTACTCCATGTATCCTGCCTGCCTGCATGTGAAAAAAAACAACAACAGTCATTTTGACTAAACAATGAAAAGTTTGCAAATGCCAAATTTCTGCTTCCTATACATTTAATGCTGCTCTTGTGTGTCCACTTTCTTCTTAAAACATTTTGGCTGTGCTTTACAGAAGTCAATGAGAGTTTCAATGGGAGCATCACCAAGCCCTGAAGGAAGCAGAAGTACTATACAAAAAAAAAGTATTTGATCATATAACCAAAGACAATATCAGTACATCTATGCATAATGCATATACTTGGAGGATCCCAGGAGCACTCTGTGCCATGTTTTTTGCTATTATAGAAGCAGTCACATAGGCCTGGCCTTAAAATTTTCATGATCAGGATGACAGAGAAACGGTGATCTGCAACTGCTCCCAACTCAGCAAAACCCAGAAATGCACGCAGAAAGGAAAGGTCTTTTCTGTCGGAAAACTGGAACAATCTGCTGCAAACAAGGGATTTGTTAAAGGTTCTCACACAAAAAGGATGCGCATTTTGTAAAGGGAATGTGCAGCAAAACGCGTGGAGTTGCTACTACTGACTCCTATACAACTACAGCTCTGATTTGCACTGTCTTCAGTCTGGAGTCTTCTCACTCTTGCTGTCAACCATTTGAACTGGGAGTTCAAACACAAGTACAAAGTAACGCAACTACCTGATAGATGGGCTTGACTAAGGAGGAGAGCACCCTGTAGCTTCATTTATGCTCAAAACTATTTGGAGATAATCTGATACAATCTGATTTGGATACAATCTGATCCCAAAAAGCCTTCTTTTTATAAAACTGAAACAAAATCCTAAACATCCACCTAGGCTTCAAATGTATTTAAAAATTATGGAGAATATGCTGTGCTGCAGTAAACCCCATGCTTCTACACATGTCGCTGTGGACAAAGAGATTGTGCACAGTGACTGTGAACCACTGACTAACACTGACTGATAGTTCATCAACGAACAGAAGTCAGCTGGACTTTCTCCTTGCACCCAGACCTATGTGGTTTTGTCCCTTTCTGGTAGGTATACCAAGCAGGGAAGTATTTGGTGCCCAGTGTTAAAGGTGAGGTCCACCCCTGTTTGCTGAGTGTCAAGCGACAGTGTCCTGCTTTTGGAACACATCAATCCCTACCTCTTCATCTGTCCTTACCCCGTGATCAAACCAACTGGGAAGCTCTCTGAGATGAACACATTAGGGTGTTTGCGTGCAATGCAGGCAGAGAGAAACACAATTTGGCAGCTTTCAAACCAGGGGACATTTCCAACAAAAAGAAAAAAAAAAGAAAAAAAGCAAACTAAAAAATTCAGAGAGTAATGAGAAACAAGACATTATTTGACTCTGACCAACAAGTACCTCTATAGCTGAACAATACAGCAGTCAGAGCAATAAACTCCAATTCTGCACACTGCTGTGCAAAGAAATAGAGAACTGCCCACAGAAAACAGCATGAAAATCAAGATATTTTCCTGTTGCTTTTTTCCTACTCTCAAATTTGGATTTTAAGAATAGGAACATGGGATTTAGCTTCAAACTGACTCTCACTTTGCTGCCTAAGGTTCTTCCATAGCTAAAGGAAATGGCAGAAGCACAATCATCCCTGATTTTCCCAATCACCTACTTTACATTTTACATGTGGAATAAGCATGAGTCAGGTTTCATTTATGCTACTGGGTCTTATTAGCACAGGCCCAGGATTTGTAGCGAAGTGGAAGAAAAAAGAGATTACGCACTGTAGGAGACACTGCTAAGCCAGGAAAACCCCTGGTGTGGATGTAGTTACATCCATGAGTCAGCTTACACCCCTTTGCCTGCACAGGTTAGGTTGCTTGAAGAAAACATGCAGCTGCAGAGGCAGAAAAGTACTTTCTGTCACAGATGCTGTGTGTACGCTGGGGACACTGCAGGGCACAGGTGTAACTGTGTACGCTCTGGGGTGTGGGGCTGTAAATGCTCATGGACTCGGAAACTAAACAAACTGCTAGATCCCAATGGCTGATGAGTTAGAAAACACTATCCTTTCCTTCCAACAAAAAATA